AAACACTGACTCATTTTGAACTGGCTTTAGTAATCGAATGTGCGTCCCGTCGATACACGCAACGATCCGAGGCAGCTGGTATTTCCTATAGAAGTTCTCCCTGGATTGTTGTATTTGCGGTTCAGTCATTTGCAACGAGATATTTTCTGCACATAGCACACTTTCCATTAAAGGAATATATTTGTGCAACACCTTCCCAAACGTGCTTCTGCCTATGTTAATGTGGTGGTCCTTTGCAACACATAACTGAAAGGAACCAGTGGCAAGGAAGCGAAGAACAGCAGCGAACTGAATTGATTGTGGCAACCGAGTTGTTTTTAAATGTGGCTGGAGCTTTTGTAGAATAATTTTAAACGTGTCTTTGTCCACCCGGAATGACTTTAAGAAACTAAAGAATAACTGTGTAATAAATAGCTCAGTTTATGGCTTTGGATACAACTCACCTTTCGTCTGGCATAGTACAAATATCTGACCTTGCCCTTAAATGCTTTAGTCTCCTCAATTCTGTCTTTTTCTTTAATCTTTTTGCTTCAAAACACGCTAGTGAAAAAATGAAAGGCATTTTTGTTAATTTATAACTTGTTGAAATAGCTAAAACAGCTGTTTTGCTATACCAGAAACAAAGTGAGGAATGGAACTTATCGATAACAAAAAGTTGCGAATTCAAGAGCACCTAAAAATAAAAACGTACGATTTTTACGAAAACGCAAAACGCAAAAGTAAATGAAAATGGGAGCCCGGCTGTATGTGCATTTTGCCTTTTAAGCCAAAGTCAGTTGTGAGTAAACAAACAACTCATGACAACTCCCTCGCTGTCGTGTTGCGCTTGAATGGTGCGCATGCGCAGCCATGCACTTGAAAAACGCAACGTCAAGCGCTATTTGCCGTTGGAGTCACAAAAATGGGCTGTAAATTATGCGTAAATATGCGTCGAAATGTGGCGTCAATGCCAGAGCTGCTGGAGAATAGTGAGTAGCCGGTCTGCGTACCTCTTTCGCTTCTTCGTCGTCTAATCAATGTGGGCCAGAGCATTGTTAATGCGATACGATCCGGTTGTACGCAGACGGCCGTCTCTTCGAAGATCATTGTCGCGTTCGAATGCGTTTGTAACGGTGCTTTTTCGTTGTTTTCCTATTTTGTGCTGCCCTCGCTTTGGAATTATCAGCTTACCTCCATAATTGACATTTTTAAATATTTACTCTTCGCGGGTTTTCTTTCTAGTGTGATATTTATTCAGTGAGTTGTCACTTTGTTGCATTATGTGGGCCAATTGTTTTATTTTTATCTTTTTTTTATCGTTTCTTTGCTCATTTGTTGTATTATAGCGCATTTTTATTGTCTGGCTTTGTATGTTTCAGCTTAAATTGTTTATTGATATTATTAGGTGGGGTTTGATGCCACCTCTGCCTTAGATGAATTGTCTTTAAAGTCAATAAGGAAATTAGAGGTAATACGTTTTAGCACTTCAGTGCAACACCCCTAAGCCCTAAATAGTTTGATTCATAATTATAGAAAAATATCCAGCCTCTGTTTGATACATCCATTGACTTGGAACTACAGATTTGTAGACATGTGCCTAATTTTTCCGGCTCGGTACAGAAATCACATTTGAAAACCCGCGCGAACACGCGCCGAGAAAAAATTAGCGAAACCCGACCTGGCACAGCCCGGCAGGACTTAATCCGATTAAAATAAAAAAAAATCCCATTCTTATACATATATTATATTCGTAACAGTGGCATGCCTAAAAACGAACGCGTAAGCTTTTTTGCGTAATTTTGTACGAAAACAATTCTGTGTCGGAGGTGAGATAAAAGATGTAAATCTCTGTATGTTTCCAGGAAATATTAGTTGTGTTTATTTAAACAGATAAATTTGCCTTTCGCATATACGTATATTTTTATCCACTACTTTATGTAAACGAGCAAGCAAGAATCTTTGTTTCCCCTTATCGAGAAACTTGGGTCCGGTTTAGTTATTTGTTCAACGATTTTCGGTTGTTGTGTCCAAGCGCATAACCGGAATCCAAAAACTTTAACATACACGTATAATCAGAGGATGAAACTTTTATTTAAAATAAATGTTTCAAATTATTAATAAATTCGGTTTGCACTATGCACTTTTTTGAAAAATTCGATGTGGATTCTGCGCGAAAATACTGTGATATGCACAAGAAATACTGTATACGTTTGACATGCGGAAGTGCCTCTTCTCCGGCAACACAGAAAGGAGAATTCTACTTAGTAAGAGTTATAACTCTATATATAATCCCTAAGCGCTGCCGAAGGCAGAAGCAAGCTCAACAGGTGGTGGACCTAGCAAAATGCATGTTTTCAATGGCTTGGAAGAAGCTGTTATTGCTCTAACTGGATTGGGAACCAGTTCTTCAGGCATAGGAGGAGTTCTGGCTTGTGCTTCAACAATGCAACCAGAAGCTGACATAGATGCGCCCATGGTTACTATGCCCGACAACTCCGCACACCTTTCTGAATCCATTGCAATAGCACCCTCTTACTCTGCTGCTATGAGTGTTTTTTTAATTCATTTCCACTTTATTTCCCTTCATTCAGCTATCTTCGAAAAACAACTGATAGCTGGCAATGCTGCACATGTTTCCGCAAGGGTTGCAGCATGTGGATTACGAAAATTCGAGTTCTAGAATAAGGGGGATGATAATAATTTTTCATCAAGTTACTGGGAATTGATAAGAACATCTAAAGGGGCCCCTCATTTTTCACAAAGAGAAGTAAATGTCATATTTTGAGGTTATTTTCATAAAATACATGGTAATAAAGTTTGTCTTAATTTTATTATATTGGTAATTACATGTTTTTATTTTTATTTTTCCATTTTAGTTAGACAAAAAACAATACTTATGCTGGATTTCCACTAGGCATTAAATGGCAAAAATGACAAATGACAAAGTCGGTCATTAAAAAATAATCATTAAAATCATTTCCACATGGCATTTTTTTAAATGGCAGACATTTTTTGTCATTTCAATGCCTAGT